AACAAATAGCCATACATTTGTTATCTCAATTTATTTTCATACCCTCAGCAAATATTGTAAGGTATATTTAAAATAGTTCGGTTGAACTAGAACCCTTTTTCCTGCTATCTCTAGCTGTATATGTTTCAGCTCCTTGCCAAATGGTCTAAATCATAAAAATCACCAGTGGTCTACTCTTTACTAAAAAAGAATGAGTTTGACTTTCACCCAGATTTCCTCAAGTAATTCCCCCACAGCCATTTCTTTATGATAATTTTCTTGTCATTATTCATGGAGCCTTGACATAGTCTTCAGATATTCATCTCTAAAATCATGCGACACTTTCTTGCTCTACCACTGGAGCAGAGGTTGCCAGCACCCTCCCCACTGTTTAACAAAAATGCTGACCCTCTAATGAATCCAAACTAGTGTCCAGTCTCTCAATGCTTTACACAGTCACTGGAATCTTTTATAGGGTAAGAAGTAAAGGTTTTCATTTCCTGGGAAAGTCTCAAAGACAGTTGAAGGGATGATAGCACCTTACCAAACTGAGATGGGTGAACAAAAAGCAAGCAGTCTTTGTGCATATAATAAGGTGGAAGAAATTGAGAATGACCCACTACATCACTGAAAATAGCCATATGCTCTAACTTCATGGCAATCGGCCCAGCCAGTCCTATAGAATTTGCCTAGTCTTAATTGGTCTGTTTTTCTATACCCAGTGGGTCCTGGGACAAAATTACATTGCTATCTCAAAAGACTTTATTAGCCAGCTTTGGTTGGAATATCATGGTCAAGAGAAGAAACAATGGCAGCATTGAATTGTAGCTCTTGGAATCTGGTCTAGGTTTTAATCACATAGACAATTTCTTCAAATTTTAGTGCTTGTTCTGTTTTGCAGAGTGTGAAATGATACATCCAGTGTCACATATGTTGAGGCACTTATCCAATTAAGGGATATCACTTATTCAATTAATGGAGCCCAGTCTAAACCTGAAAGAGGCAGAGGGCCAGCAAATACTCACTTACTACCACAGTTTTGTCCTGTATCTATGGTGCACACGGAAAACTGATGTCAACCATCTTTTCCCCAAATCCATATGTCATTCCTGTATACAATTCCCTGGACATCTGCAAAATATTCATTAGAGTTGACAGTTGAGAGGAAACTTATTCCCCAGCCTGCATGTCCTCTTGGTATTCACAGACTTAACATTTATAATTTCAACCATTCAGAAGCACCCATCAAGATCATGACAGTAGTATAACCGGGTTTAGTCACATAGTTGAATCACTCGTGACGAAAATATCTCTTGGCTGGTAAGCAAGCCTAACCCCTTCCTGAAACTACATCTCATCACAATTTTGGAATTTTCTTTCTGTTTTTATAAAGATATTTTAGGAATAAAAATATAGACTGTACTTTACAGACTACGTAGACTAGTACTTCTAAATTTGTAGAGTTAAAATTTTCTCTCTAAAGACCCTTTTATAAAATATCTTGTTTGTATAGCTAAAACTTGGAAACAGCCCAATTGCCCATCAACTGAAGACTGGATAAAGAAGATGTGGTTTTTTTATAAAATGGATTACTACTCAGCCGTAAAGAATGAGAAACTAGAGACATTCATAGCTAAATTGATAAACATTGAGGCGATACTCTTAAGTGAAATAAAAAGGACAAACATATAAATACTGAATAGTTTCTCTGATGTGAAAAACTAAAAGTGTAAATAAGGTTCAAATGGTATAATTGATAATGTGAAATAGAAAGAAAAGCTCTAAAGGATCAGGGGAAGTGGGAAGGGTAGGGGATAGGAAAGAAGGGAAAAGAAAAAAATATGAGCAAAGGAAAAAATGGAAACAAAGTCTTTGTAAATAGGAAAGGGTGGAGGGAATGAATGGTGGGCAGAGGATTACATACATCATGTAAAGGTACAAGCTTCCAATGATGAATGTAACTGTATTGTATACCTAAAATGTACCAATAAATTTAATGAAAAAAATATCTTGTTGTTTAAAATCTCACTATAAGTTTTTCCTATTAATTTCTATGAAACCCATCTCCCCAATCCTGAATCCATTGGTCTTCCAATGTTACCATATCATTCAATGACAATATGAAACAACATCCACAAAGTTGTTCACAAAACCTGGAGGACAAGCTTGAATTGCCCCATGTTCTCCAATCTTGAGAAAAATCTTTAAAATTCTGTCTTGAAAATATTTCCCATTCTCTCCATTAATCTTTCATTTCCCTTGCCACCATCTTGGTCCAGGCTTTTATCTCACCATAGACCATGGTCCTGACTGGTCTCTTCTTCAGTCCTTTTTCCACTCTTCTCTCTCTTTTGTAGCCATTGAAACCACGCTGAAAAGTGAATTTGACCACACCATACCTTGTCCCTCTTCTCCCAATACCAAACACACATCACATTCACTGAAATGCTTCTAATGTTTTTCCATTGTTCACTCAAAAACTGAGTCTTCAGGCAAGAAGCCAACAGTTACAGACCAGAAACCTGTGTGCAGACAAGTTGAGCAGCTCCACAATCCTATACAATGGAGCTGCATCTACCTCTCAAACTTTGTGTCCTCCTTTTCATCCTCTATCTCAACCACAGTGAATTCCTTTGGGATCCCAGAATAGCCATGCTGTGGCAGAGACATAACCACCCATCTTAGTCACTCTACTAGCTATTGTCTTCACTACAAATACCTGGCCCCTATCAGCTGTACTTAAACGATGCTCCTTCATAGTCTCCTTCTTGGCTCACTCATAGTGTGCTGCCTCTTTACTCCTCATCACCACTTGATCTCCTACAAGTACATATTTATGGTATGTGTTTACTCGCTAATTGTCTATCTTCCTTGCCAGAGAAGGAGGCCCCATGAGGACAGAGCCTTTGCTAGTTTCTCTGGCTTGATGATCAGAGAACTGCTGCTTCTGACACAATACATCCCTCAAGTGTGCGACAGTAGATGGGAGGCTAGAGAAGCCAAGCACCACCATGCTGGCTCTCCAACATGGTACTGGAACTCTTCAAGGCAGTACAGAATCATTTGCAAATTCTAAGAACTGAACTCTTTGATTCAGGTTGCCCAATCTATGAAATCACATTGCTTGCCTTTTGTAGTTGCAACAAGTCTCAGCCAGTTTGAGGTGAGGCAATTTATAAAGGAGAAATGGGAATTATTTCATGTGAGTAAACAATTCATTAACCTTACATACGGATTTCTCAGCCTGAATCATTCCAATGTTTTTGTTTGTATCAATGTCATTCTCCTTAGAGATTCCATCGCATAATAGCTAAACTTATAAAATGATGTGCCACACACCGGGGACCCCACAGAACAAGACCAAGCAGATTCCACCTTCACATGGCTCACAGTTAAGCAAGAAACGCAGATACTGAGGAATCAGCCTGAAGGGTTGGAAGTGGGAAAAACAGCGCTGTGGGATTGCATGAGTCTCTAGTACAATCTGACAATGTGAAAGATTTGTTGGCAGCAACTTCTGAGACAACGGAGTAGAAGGAAGAAATGGGATGGGAGTCAGGAAGGAAGAGAATGGGATGGGATTATTTTTATTTCATCTTAATTCTTACATATTTATTTTGGTCTTTTTATTATTATCAGTAAGGGCTATTTTTGGCAGAACTACAAGTGAAGCACATTCACTCTCTCATGTACACAATCACACCCCTTGGAAATTCTGTATTAATCTAACAGAAAAGAACAAAGAGAGACAATCCTGACGCCTCCTTCTGGCCTCCTCACAGATGGTTCTATTGTTGTCTCCCTCCCTGACCAGATCTCCCTCAGCTCCTGGTCCAGTCAGATCAGCAGCAGGAGAACAATACCTTTGCCCCTCTGTTCTTTTGGAGGAGTCATGAATCCGGCTGCTGAGTGAGCTTTGGCTTTGCTTGACTAGAGATAGGCTGGAGTTGTAATTGTCTGCTTAGATTCTGGATGGAGATCCTGAGCACAGGGTGAAGAATCCAGGCCCTGGTGAAACAGATGAACTAGAGGTCCAGGCTTTGCAAGAGAGGAAGGACAACCCGGAACTTGAGCTCCATCTGGAGATGGAGCACCTGCCCTGTCGGACTTGACTGCCTCATTGCCTTATGGGAAGTGGATTGTTCATTGTTCACAGATCCTGAGATGTCACAGCAAATGTCTCTGGTGCTCAGCATCTCACGACTGCATCCACTCGATGGAAACATGTGGCACTTGACCAGGACACAACACAAACTGTTAACAATGATAGTAAGGCAACGAGAGACAGATCATATGGGAACAACCTACTGAACAGTAGAACCTGTTTTCATGCATTTTCAAGGACTTTAGAAAGACCATTTTTTACTGACAATGATTTTTACTTATTAGAGTCTTTCCCCTAATTTTCCCTACCAGATAAAATTTTATTAGGCTACATTCAGGGACTTACATACACTTGAAAGCAAAAAATAAAAATAAAAAAGTGTTGAAATATTTTAGGAATGAGAATTTTTACTTCTTCAGGACAAGTTTTGCATGTAATGAATTTTTTAAATAAAGTTTTATATAACCTAGCACAATTTCACCCCACTTAAAGTGAATGAAGATATATGAGGATATTTATTTCTTCTGAGTGTAGGGAGCTTTGTTTTTTGGTTTTTGTTCGTTGTTTTTTTTCTAAACACTGGATAGCTCTCAAGAAAAATGCCAGCTACTTCTTTATTACATACTAAATAACTTCCATGTAACTAAGTGTTCATGTTAAATGTTATTAAGTACAAACAGCATAATAACTAAAAATAGTTCAAAATGTCTAGCTATATTTTGTCAACAGTCTTGCTCTAGCCAATTTCCCCATTAATTGCACAATTTATATTTGGGGAAAGGCAGAACTCAATTGTTTCCAAACAAAATTTCAAGCCTGGGTACATTTCCTTCCCTTGGTCAATTTCAGTTAAATGAATTATCCTTCAAAAAGAAAGAATGAAGAAAGGGAGACTTCTCCAAAAACTCATTAAATATGTGTATTTCATCAAGGGCTTTCATTATAAAATTGTAATGGATGCTTTCTGCTGTAACCATCACTGGAGAGATTTCAGTTTTTTAGAGCACTTCTTTCATCTTTTGCCTTAACACACTTTGTACTGACAAATAGAAGACAGCAAATGCCAACTTGATGAAAAGATATTTAATCCTATAAGGGCATAAAAGCAAAGCCAAAAAAATTTCTACACTTCAGGCAATAGAATATGAAATTTTTTATCAGCTCATTCAGTTGCTTCTTCTAAAGCTAAAGAACATGAATAACTCATTTAGGACACCAAATTAACTTTCTCTGCATTGGTTAACTGTTACTTGGTAGACTACTCCGTGTCTTTTCATGTCACCAAACTTTATGTTCAAAGCATATCACGTGGACATATGAGGAACATGAGCAAGTATAAGATACAAGTATAACTCTCAATCTGATGAATCCTATCCAGAAAAAGAACCTTCCTGAAGGTATATTTTGTCTCAGTTGAGCTAATCTCTTCCATCCCTAAGTCATCAATAGTTCAGAGGAATTTCAAAACTCAGCATGTGAAGAATTAAAGGCATAGTGAATCAAAGTAGCCGAGAGAGAAGAGGAGTGATAGGAATTAATCATGCTGCCATTTTACCATTAGAGAGGTCCTTAAAAGGGGAGCATTGAAGAGAACTCGGATGCTGTGAGTCCTGCAATAAAGGCCACACACTTTATATACATTCCTCCTTAGTGCCAACAACACTTGAAACTGACAAATAAAAGAGGTCAGCAATTTGAATGAGGTCATGTAGCCTATAAAGTGGAAAAGTCTGGAATTAAATCAAGAAATTATACTAAACATCTATAGAGTTTGTAATACTACTTTGGTTTAGATGTGATTATTTATGTATCATAGAGATACATATTTGCATGGGGGAAAATGTTCCCTCTGCTTGTGTATGTGTGTATGTGTGTGTGTGTGTTGTTATAGATACCCATGTCTTCTCTGAATGCTAAGACCTTGAACAATTTTTTTCTTCTTATTGGTATTTATAGTGTATAATGATTGTATTTTGTTTATTTAATACAAAAGTAAGAAATGGGTTTTTTTAAGAATAAAGTTAAATGGTAAGCATTAGTTCGAGTTGATTTTTTTTTTTACTTGTTAAACAGACATTTATTGACTATCAGAATCCGAGTGAGTGCCTGGACCCGGACCACCAACCCCTGTGGTGAACAACCAAGATGTGTGCTCCTCATCCCTGAGGGCTCATCGGGAGGTGGGACGAGAGGTCTGCTGACAGCTGCTCCGTACAAAGGATCTGTTAGGGGACACACAAAACAGTCCCAGAATGGGGAGGTGCATCTCACAGGTTCATTTATCCATCCCTCAGAGCAAATACTACTTATGCACTTTACAATGATGTTCTGTGTTGCCATCTGACACAGTTGGCTTAGATTTACAGGCAGACTGATGTTTCGTCTCATGTGTACTCAAGAGAGCTGGTTAGTGATGACCATGAGAAAGTACAGGACTTGAAACTTTTAAAGCTTTACTTCTTTTATCAGCACTTCTGATTTTATAAACAATGAAGCTCATCAACCCCATTCCTACCCAAATCTCCTGGTAAACTTGGGTATAGTATGGCTTCAAGGGGACCCAGACATTTTTAATGAAGCTTTGACGCATCTTGACAAGATCAACCATCCAGGCTGCGCCAGACCCCAACATGCACTCAAGGTCACCGAGTGCGCAGGCACCTTGTGGAGCCCCTGAGGGGGGGTGGGCAGTGGCTCCGAAGGTCAGAGCATCTCCTAGTTCAAGTTGATTTAATGACTAAAGAAGACAGTCGTTTTTAGCCTCCTACTACTGATAATAAAAATAGCTGTTTGGGGGCATTTGTTTGGGAGGAGAACATTAAGTCCAGTCCTCTACCTACATTCTCTCATTTAATCCACTCAATTTTCTTACAATAGAGATGTCATTTATTATCTTCTCTTTACAGAGGTAAAAGTGAGGCAGACTTTGTCTAATTTGCCCTGATGCATATAACTGTAGCTTGCCAAGCTCTCATCTTGAACCACTCACCAGACTTTAAACTCCTCATCACCAAGGTGGCAGCTTTCCCCTGCTTCTGGAGTCCCGACTGGGGATATTCCTTCAGGCATGGAAGTTGTACGGACCTGGAGACACACTGATATTTCCTCTGTAATTGGAGTCAGTCTCCATTCCGGGCTAGACAGCTAGAGTCCTTTTCCAACTGATGGCCTAAGTAGAAAAATATAAAGCCATTTTATTGGTTTCTGTATGTAGAATAAGGGTTTTCATTAAGCTTCAGTTAATATTTCATATGCATAAAACACTTGGATAGTTGAAATATTTATCATTATGCTGTATGTTTTGTCTAATTTCCATATATTTAATGACAAGCCCAAAGTTTTAAAATTTTCCATAATTTAGATTATTCTAAATACTAAATCACGACTTTTTGAATTTCAGGCTGAAACTCAGCTTAATGTATGTTTAGGCTGATCATCTCAATAGATGCAGAAAAAGCATTCGACAAAATCCAACAATCATTCATGATAAAAACCCTACAGAAAATTGGAATAGAAGGTCTTTATCTTAACCTGTTTAAGGCTATCTATGAAAAACCAACAGCCAACATCATCCTAAATGGTCAAAAACTGAAAACTTTCATGCTAAAATCAAGAACAAGACAAGGATGCCCACTATCACCACTCCTGTTCAATATGGTTCTGGAAACATTAGCCAAAGTAACTAGAAAGAGAAAGAAATAAAAGGAATAAAGACAGGAAAGGAAGAAGTTAGACTGTCATTATTTGCTGATGATATGATACTTTACATAGAAGATCCAAAAAACTCCGCCAAAAGACCTCTAGACTTAATCGACAGATTCAGTCGAGTAGCTAGATACAAGATCAACACTCAAAAAACAATAGCTTTCTTATACACAAATAGCAGACTCACTGAGAGAGAAATTAGGGAAACAATTCCTTTTATAACAGCATCCAAAAAAATGAAATATCTAGACTCAATCTAACAAAGGAAGCAAAAGACTTCTACACTGAAAACTTCAGCACTCTGAAAAAAGAGATCAAAGGGGATATAAGAAAATGGAAAGACGTTCCTTGCTCCTGGGTAGGAAGAATCCATATAGTGAAAATGGCCATACTTCCAAAATTGCTGTATAGATTCAATGCAATGCCAATTGAAATTCCAACAATATACTTCACAGAACTAGAGAAAACAATCCAAAAATTCATTTGGAACAAGAAGAGACCTAGAGTAGCAAAAGCAATTCTAAGCAACAGAAACATGGCAGGGGGTATCACAATCCCCAACTTAAAACTATACTACAAAGCTACTGTGATAAAAACAGCATGATGCTGGCAAAGAAACAGACCTGAGGATCAGTGGAATAGATTAGAAGATGCAGAAATAATTCCAGACATACTCAGCCACCTCATCTTTGACAAAGGAGCCAACCATCCCCACTGGAGGAAAGATAGACTCTATAATAAATGGTGTTGGAATAACTGGATTTCAACCTGCCAAAGATTAAAACTAGACCCATATCTATCACCATGCACTTAACTAAGATCGAAGTGGATTAAGGATCTAAATATTAAGACAGAAACACTAAACTTGCTGGAAGATAAGTTAGGTAGAACACTTGAAGATATTGGCATAGGAAAAGACTTTATGAACAAAACCTCAGTAACATGGGAACTAGCACAAAGAATCAACAAATGGGATCTCATCTTATTAAAAAGCTTCTGCACTGCAAGAGAAACCACCAACAGAGCTAAGAGACAACTACAATGTGGGAAAAAAATTTTTATCAGCTGTACTTCAGACAAAGGTCTATCTAGAATATATAAAGAATTGAAAAATATCAGACTCGCCAAATTCAAAGACCCAATTCAAAAATGGGCATCTGAAATGAATAGAAATTTCTCAGACAAAGAAGTAAAAGCAGCAAATAAACATATGAAAAAATGTTCAACGTCACTGGTCATTTGAGAGATGCAGATGAAAACAACACTGAGATTCCACCTCACTCCATAAAGAATGGCTGCTATCAAGAAATCAACCAATAACAAATTCTGGCAGGGTTGTGGGGAGAAAGGAACCCTTCTTCATTGTTGGTGGGAGTGCAGACTGGTGCAACCACTGTGGAAATCGATATGGAGATACCTCAAACAACTAGGATTGGAGTCCCATTTGACCCAGCTATTCCCCTGCTGGGTATCTTCCCAAAAGAATTAAAAGAATCATACCACAGCTATATATGTGCATCCATGTTTATAGCGGCACAGTTCATAATAGCTAAAGCTTGGAAACAGCCCAAGTGCCCATCAATTGGAAACTGGATAAAGAAGATGTGGTTTTTCTATAAAATGGAGTACTACTCATCCATAAAGAATGAGAAACTAGAGACATTTATAGCTAAATGGATGCACATTGAGGCTATGCTCTTAAGTGAAATAAATAGGACACACATGTGTAAATACCGAATAGTTTCTCTAGTGTGAGAAACTGAAAGTGTAAATAAGGGTTAAAACGAATAATTGATAATTTGAAATAGGGAGGAAAGGCCCAAAGGGGTAGAGGAAGTGGGAGGGGAAGGGGAAAGGAAAGAAGGGAAAGAAAAATTATGAGAAAGGAAAAAAATGGAAACAAAGTCTATGTAAATAGGGAAGGATGGAGGGGGCAAAGGGCGCACAGGTAATGGGGGAAAAATAAGAACCAAGATACATCATGTACAGGTACAAGCACCCAATGATAAATGTAAATGTACTGTATACCTTAAATGTACCAATAAAAGAATCTAAGCAAAAATATATATATATAGATATATATGTTTAGGCCAAGTTTTTATATTTCATGCAGCCATATAAATTACCTAAGAGCCCAGTAAGAAGATATAAGATTCTAATCAAATAAAGGGAAGACTTTAAATGGAGCAAATTTTTTATTATTATCCCAGAAGAAGTAATTATGGAAGTTTCAATGTGCTATTCCATATGTATTTTTAAATAAATTATTATAAGACATTAATTAATCCTCAAATCTAGGAAATTATTCTTGAGATGTGTTCATTGACTTTTCACAACATACATGTATAGGAGTTTTGATTTTTTTCAATTAACCTGATGTTAACATATTCTCATATTCTGCTAACAATATTTTTCTAGGATGCTATTGGAAAGGTTCCTTAAATTGTAGAGACAATGGTGTACTTGATTATGGAATGAACATCAGTATGTTTTGTTTGCTTTCTTATTTGTTTTGTTTGCTAACTGAAGCTAACTGTTAAGTACTGGTTAAAAAAAAAAATCTCTGCAGTAGTCACCACCTAGCTCTTAAAACAGGTTAGAAAGGTAGCTTAAGACCTTTATTTCCAAGTGAGTGTTTTGTGTATAATCTAACACAACTTGTCAAAAAAGCAATTTAAAATATTTCCACCTTGCTTATTAATGGACTCCCATGTTCTCTTGAATAGCTTTAATTTCATTATACTCTTCGTTTTGTGTTTTTATCCCCTGGTGGGACCCTCAGGCTAGTTTCTGTCCCAATACACAAGGAAGATTGTCAATTCCATCTCCACTGCTTCAGTGTCAGGTAGGACTATAATATATTTCAAGCCCTAACCAAGCATATTAAAAATAATTACATGCTGCCTGCTGCCCTTACTGTCTGGTGGTCCCATTAAACTGTTACTAGGTCCTCCTGTCTGCAGAATCTGTCAGTTCTTTGCTTCCCTCTGGAAGGATCGGAAAAGCTGAATGACATTTTCTTCCTTTTTTTTTCTCTCTCCTCACTCTCAATCATATTCCTACATTTAGCTGAGATCTTAATTCCATTTGCTTCTTTAGAAGAAAAGGCGAAACTGGCTGTCAGAGGCGAAAAAAAAAAAAAGTTCTTTTTTTGCCTTTTCATCTCCAGGCAGATGAATCAATAAACTATGAAGACAAAAGTGCTCCATCTTCTGGTCAGTGGTGAACATTAAGCATCAGACAGTACCTATTGTCAAAGGAAGCATTTTATCTCTGGGACAAGACCCTGAAGACAGCTATTGATGAGTTCTCCAATACCATCACGAGCAAAACATTCTTCTCCCAGTCTCCCAAGCTCACGAGCTGGAAATAATTTCCCCCAGTTTCCCTCTTTTACTTTTGTCCCGCACCTCCGCCAATCCACGTCTGATAATACCGTGCGACGGCGTGCTGTCCTAGGTGGGTCCTCTCTCTGCCCCCTTCGTGTCTAGCACGAGTTACTTTATCCTCTGCTTTCTCTGCCCTTTCATCTATAACATACGCATAACGTTTTATATATTATACGTGTGTGTTTAAAGTAATGACATAATAAAATGGCATGTAATGGATATAAAATAATGATGCATTGTGGTGAACACCAAACAAAACAAGAGTTGTAAAATAAGCCCATTAGGAGCATAAAAGGCACCAAACAAATGCAAGTGGCCCTGACGCCCTGACTATAATTACTGATACAACAGTTTTTCAGTCATTTTCAGTTCAATTCCATTGAAATTATCCAATCCTTACAATGGCCAAGATGCTAAGTACAGAAGTAGGATTTTTTTCAAGGTAAATTTTGTTCCTCCTCAAAATTAGTAGTCTGCTAGCAGTGACAAAAGAAGTACTTGAATAATTTTAATACCAGATATGTTGGAAGAAAGAACAACACTGTGTCAAAGTTGCCATCCAACATCCCTCTGAGTGTGTTTAGTACAGTACTTTGTGAAGCTGAGTTGGACAGCATAGATGTTATACTTGGTTTTAAATCCACCGAGTCGAGCCAGGGAGCATGGCACTGCATGCCTGTAATCCCAGCAGTCTAGGAGGCTGAGTCAGCAGGATCTCAAGTTCAAGCCCAGCCTAGACAACTTAATGACTTAAGAAAAGCCTGTCTGAAAATTTTAAAAATACAAAGGTGGCGGGGCGGGGGGGGGGGGGGGGGGGGGGGGGGGTATGCAGTTCAGTATGGAGGCCCTGGCTTCAATCCCCAGTTCTAGAGAAAAAAAAGTTCCTATATTATAGAGTAAGTAGAGTTCAAGAACATCTGTGAAAGATTAGCAGAATGTTCGTTTCCATTTGCCTGGGTAGTATACTCTATGCTTCCCCAAAGCCACTATCATGGTGCATTTGAATATAAAGTGGGCTCCTATGACTGCTGTCTACACCACTTTTCCTTCTGACCTTTGAGGATATACTTCTTTAGAAGAATTATGTCTCATCAGTTGCTCCCCTGTTCCCAGGGCTCTGTTGTTGTCATTTCTGGTTTTGGAATAAAATCATACAATAACAAAATACAGGGCCATCCTGCATCTGAGGCCAAACCCAGACTTTCCCAGCTGAGACCAAGGAACATGTGTGCTCCGGCGGACAGATGCCAACTGTTGAAGTGGGGGACTTCACATGTGAATCTAGATCTCCAGCTTGAAACACTGGGAAATCCAGTTGCCCAGAACTGAAAATCCCACTTGGAACCAGTAAAGAGGTATGTAACAGTCAAACAACCTTGGAGTGGGGCTTGTGCTCTAGGTGTCTACATGCCTGGAAAAATCAGATCATCCCAAACACTTGACCCATTGCCTACTTTATCTAACTCAAGCCCAGGAATCATTCTGTTTTGGGAAACAATATTGCTATTGATGATATATTAATATGTAATATACAGTGGTGGTTTGCAGAATACAAAGAGACTTTTTCTCACTAAAATTCTTCTTACTAAAATAATCAGAGCACAGTTACCACTGCTATACCTTAGCTTTCATGATTGGCAGTCTTTGTCTTTCTTCATCACTTCAGCACTCAGTCCAGTCGTTCATTTCTTCCCTTACCTTCTGTGCAAGGGAAAGGAAATCTGAGTCAGGAGGAGGAAAAGGATAAACCAAGGAATCGATACTTCATTTCATGAGTGAGACATTTCTAAGAGCTCCACTGGCAACTTTATGAACCAGCACAGAATTCAATGAAGTAAAGAAGCTAGAGAAGTGAGTTTTCCTGGCCCAAGTTCTCTAGACACGGAATTTTATTACTAACTCTGTAAAATTTGGGTAAATCACTAGGTTTCTAAAGCCTCGTTTACTCTTTACAAGAACTCATCAAATAAAGAGAGTGAAACAAAGACAGAAAATAGTTTTCTAGTCGCTTTAAAAGCAATTTCAATTTGTTATAGATGTATATTTTGAAAGCCAGGCCCTATTTATTCACTTAAAATTATGTAATTTGTTTTCAATTTTTTCCTTTCATATTTAAAAGTAGCCAAAACTACCAAACAATATTGATATCAGGGGGGAAAGACATAATTTTCCTTCTTTACAGTCAAAAATTTTTCCAACTTTTAAAAGGCTTTATAGACAGATGGCCTTCTCCAGCTTAACCATTTGCCAACTGGAAGCACCGAGAGGCTACCAGAGGCAGACAGGATGACTGAAGATTTAAGAACTTCTCCAAACATGGCTTCAAAGTGAATCCCACTACCCTATTGTTTCACTGGACAACTGACGTCCTGGAAGAATCTGGCTAGTTTTGAAGTTAGAAAATAGCAAATACCTAGACTGGCTGGATAAGGCCATGGAGTCATGAAGTTGCTTAACTCAAGGAAGAGCACAGGAATATGTGGTCCACAGCCCCATCAGTACCTCTGGCTGGCCTTCTGTGAAGGTGCTGCTAGGTCCTGAACCAGCAAGAATTGGTGCTTGAGCACTTTCTTCATTACTGAAGTAATCTCACCACACCAAGAGGCAGAGGGGACAGCACAGTCGTGGGAACGTGAGGTTTTGATCTCAATTTTGGCACTCCCATGTGCAGCCAGCAGGCCTTGGCTAAGTTCCCACACTCCCTGTCCTTTATTTCCTCATATGAAAATGGGATCTAGCTTACATGATCGAGTCAATATGAGTTAAACAACTAGAATGGTGCGTGGCATGTGGTGAATTCCACGTGTCTGTTGAATAAAAGCTTCTAAGTTTCTAAGTACTGTGGAATGACAACCTCCCATGAATTTCTTAGTAATCAGTTATGTAGAATCTTCCCCTTGTTGGCCTGTTGCTCACTGCCTTAACTCTCAGGAAATAGCCGAAATATTGAACAAGTGTGGTCTTTTTTGCACTCTTATACAAAGTTTATCCCCACAAGATGCTTAGCTAATGGTATGTACCATTTAACATTACAAAATAGTTCAAATAACTAATGCACTAAATTAAAGAGGTGCCATACAAAAGCTAAAACTTCAATATGCTATTCAAAATCTTAGTCTTAGTCAGGGATTTAGCTCAGTGGTTCTGCCGCCTGCCTCCCAAGGGCAAGGTCCCGAGTTTGATCCCCGGTACCAAAAAAAAAAAATCTTAGTCTGTAGGACCCTCACATTCACGCTCCCTTTCCTTCACCTTTAGCCTTCCCAGCACACCCTCAGCTGTGTGTCTGTCTTTTCACATTGCTCTGACTTCTGCTGTTGACACATGTTCAGAATTTGAAGATTGACTTCCGGCCTCCATTGGATCTCTTGCTTACCAATCATTAGACACAACGCTCTTTTCCACTACTTGACATGTCTGAGATAACTGGACACCTGCATGTATTGAATGTGTTAAGAGAACCTGTCAGCTTTCTGTGTGTTACTGAACTCACTCACTTCACATTGATTAAATACCTACTGTATACAAAATGCTAGAGAATGCAAAGCTAAATAACTTCCTGTCCACAAGCATCTTTCAACATATAAGACATTTGTGTCATTCTCTCATATATAGGAGGGCATGTAATTTCTTAAAGTATGGTTATCATCTGTCTATTGGACCACAAAAGAAACTATAATTGTGTTCTCTGGTCTTCCTCCTGCCACGTTCTGGTCCCTAACTTTCCTTTATTTTATCTTGTATTTATAACCCATTACATGTTTTTTTTAAGGGTGCTTTAAACAATTTATTTAACTGAAATGCCATATACTGACTTCCATTTATCTTGATACATCTTGTCCCCAAGGTGATTTAGAGATCTTCAAGCCAATATAAATGTTTCATAAATATTTGGCCATTTGAGTACACATCTGCACAATACCTCACATCTTTCAGCAAGAAAAACACTGAAGAGTAATGACCTGACACAATTAACTGGGTATAATGAGAATCTGCTCCAAATATTTGTTTCTCTGAGGTAAAGGCACCACACACCTGTTCAATTAAGAAAACCATCCTTACAACACAGGATGATTTTTTATTTTGAAGTAGGGATTAGGGCCCTCAGCTGCTCATTAGGTTCTGCATGGCAGAGCTACATCCCCAGCTTCTGCCATGAATTCACAGGGAATCAGTTCCAACAACTCAGTCTCCTTCCCATTGCTTTTCACAAAGTGTGCTTCTCTGGGTGGGGCAGGCTGGCGCTTCAGTTGAACGCAGGTACCTTTCTCTTTGGCTTCCTTCTTTTTCTAATCATTTTCCTTGAAGGAAAGGAAGCTATCTCCACTCTTTGAGTGTTTAATATGCTTAATACGCACATTAATCCTCTTGGCAAGTATCTTGCCCTTAACTTGCTTGTTTACAACAATGCCAACAGCATGCTGGGTAACATTGTAGACTCTTCCAGTTTTGCCACGGTAACATTTGGGTGGCATTCCTTTTTGAACAGTACCCATTCCCTTGATGTCTACAATATCACCCTTTTTGTAGATTCACATATATGTGGCCAAAGGAAAAACATCATGTTTTCTAAAAGGCCTAGAGAACATATACTAGGTTCCCCTCCTCTTTCCCTTTGTGTTCATCATTTTGGCAAATTACTGGACGATGGCGGTTCCAGCTGAAAGGCCCCATTACATGTTTATGTAACTACTTTTTTGGTTATTCATCAGTGGCTATCTCCAACTCCCAGAATATAAATTCCATGTGAGCAGGGACTTTGTTTTCCTTGTTAACTGTTGGATCTCCGGCCCTTAGAATGCTATTTGACATACAGAAGTCTCTCAGTAAATATCTGCTGAAAAACTACTTACCAGAAGAAGTGACTTTGAGTCAGGCTTTAACTAACGAGAAGATGCAATGGTAGCTTAATTGTCAGTTTGATTGGCTTGGGAGCCACCTGGGGGGGTTGGCGAAGTGCATTTCGGGGGCTGGGCAGTTTAGTATCTACATGTGGTCTCTCACCACTTTTTCTCTGGCACTGTTCTTCTGCTCTGCTTCCTAGCAACTATGAGGTGAGCAGCTTTATTCTTCCGTGCCCTTCTGTCATGGAGTTTCTGCCTTGAGACAGACAATCACCCTCTGAAATCATGAGCCAAATAAACCATTTTCTCTAAGTGATGGGTGTTTGGTCCCAGCAATGGGAAAGCTGACTAATACAGAAGGGTTTCCATAAGTGAGAAGTGAGGGAAAGAATATTCTATAAGGAGGAATCAGTTCCAGTGGAAGCACGGAAGTTTCTAAGTACAGTCTAACTGAGGTGATAGTCAATTCAACATGGGGAAATGAAAGGATTCGGTGGAAGTGAACTCTTTAAATTAATTTTATAAAAGAAAATCATGTTTGCAACAATAGTAATATATTTCAGATAGCTCAATGACATTTACAGGTCATTCTGAGTATTTTTAGAGTGATCCAGGTCCCAAATGGATAAACTGCAAAATAAAAGATGCACAGCATTTAATCCAAGAAATAGGGAAGTTGAGGAAAGAAGGGAAAGAAGAAAGTAAGGAAAGTAGGTTGAAATAAGAAGCTAGGTTTCTTGTCACAGTTGTGTTTAGTGTACTTTTATTTTATGAATTATTTCTAAGAAACCTATGTTTTCCATTGTTCCTCACTCTATTTTAAAGACATCATCTGGAACTGACAGTCATCCTGGATGCTGGTTCTTAAACTGCCTTAGAGAAGCCTTTTAGTTTCTGCTAACTTTTGTTATGAGAAGAGGAGATTTTCTCATGACGGCAACCTCCTATCGTCTATAGAAATCGCTTCAAAATCAAGAAAAGCCCAAAAACATCTCCAATGTGAGTTTTTAGTGGGTTTGAAAGAAGACCAAACTTTCTGTTTTGTTTCTCCATTTCCAAGCATTTCCTCCACAATTTGGCCTCTTAAAAGTGAATTAAAACTAAAGTTTACAATTTTTAGGCAGTTTTTTTAAATGGTTTATATGTAAACCATTCCTTGGGAGACTCCCTGGCTTCCAGGGAATATTTGTCTCACACACTGTTTCTCACTGCCCTAGTGGGGCTGCAACTTTTACTATCTTGCTTCAAGTTCGCCATAATGCTCCTCCCAGGAACCCGGATGTAGCCCGGGCTACAGACACATAACAGCCTGCCTATTATTTTGATCAAGGGTTCAGCCATGTTTTCCCAGCCCGTTTTCTAGTACGAAAGTGAAGCCTTTCTGGGACTCATGCTTTTAGGACTAGGCTTCCATTGTGGAGGGAATCACGTATTGCAACATAGTTGCCTCAAGTAGGGGTCTGAGTTGAGGAAGAGTTATCTAAACTTTCCAGGTCATAATCATTGAGAGTGTGTATCAAAGAATTTGAAATTCACAGCCAAGGAGAAATACCATGTGGATTCTGAAACTTTAAGACAATAAAAGCCCTTGAGGAGGCTGTGTTGCTCCGTAGCGACCTTAGAAAACAGTTTAATATAACAGTTCCAGGAATTGGAAATTGAGCCTACAAATCAGACACCCCAGAGGACACCAGACCACAACACTGCCTGCCACTAACTGGGTGATGAGCCCCGGACCAGCGCTGGGAGCAGGCTCAGTGTGTTTACAAAGAGCCCACGGGACGGAACGAGAATGAAGTCAAAGGGCCAGGTGGGATATATTTTTCCTACTTATCATCTTCTCAAAATGAAAATGGATTT